GAGAGAGAAAAAAATCTCACCTACCCCATTGTACTCTTGTCCACTTTCTTAAGTTTCCCTTTGAAACTGATAAAAAATTATACTGACTATAAGAAAGTAACTTAGCAGACAGGAATTCATTTCCATTTCTGACGGTTCCTTTTTCTACTGCTTATTTATAGTTAAGTGTTCAATCCTTGACTGCTTTGGATATCACATTAAATTCTTATTCGTATAATATCTTAAACTGTTTCCAGTCTTGAAATTAATTCTAGACTGAACAAATTCTAAATTTAACTTTCCTGCGTTAATTCCCGGAAATGACGTTATTTCTGACGATGTCAACTCCCAAGTTCACATTGCACCCTTCTACTATGGGTATTTATCTTCTGACTTTAACCTAGCTGTCTGTCAATTAAGGATTTTCCCTTCTTTTAAAATGCCAGTGCATTTTTTTATACGCTGCTAACATCATGCTGTATTTGGAGATTCTTGAAATTGAGATTCTCAAACTATACTTGTACTGAAAATTATTCCACCTTAAAGTACGGTGAGAATTTATCGATCGAATTTACTTGATCGAAAACATGAACTTAATATGAAATCTGCTACAGAATTTAGAAATACATATATTAATTCCATAAATCCTTCAGTCACATAATATTTTTCTAAGAGAATCCTTGACTTAAATACATAAATTGTATTATTTAAGGTCTGAGATTTTCTCAGTCATTACACAATACCCTCTTGTTAAAAGGTTATTTGTTACAGGAATTCTCTTTGATCACTAATACCCTGCAAAAGGCCACACTTATATATTAGTGACAGTCCAATCTCGTTGCAGCACTTGGGCAAGAACATTCTTCTAAAACGATTATAAGAACTATAGATATTTATGGCTGTAAAGAAATGCAAAGAATTTCAAAATGTATTGCAAGAGAGAATAGGGGACAGACTTACACTGCCATAAGAAACACCGCAACAAGAGAACTGAAATTCGCATAAACTTAACCCTTCAGATCTGCAGCAATGCCAGAACAGCCTTCGACATGCAAGAAACGGCCAGCATTCTTTGCTACAAGAAAGAGAACATCAGAGATTAACTTGTGAATTTCAAAATACCTTAAGCTATGCTTCTTCTACACGGTCACGAGGGAATACTATGGCCGAATCAACATATCACTTTTCAATAACTACACAGATCAGAAACCAGGTACTAGGAACACAAATCAATAGCTAAGTACTAGTAACAGAGCAAAAGCCTAAACTAGATAAACTAAAAGAATTCACATAAAACTGTGATTGCCTTATTCTAAAACAGAAATCGTGGAACAACAACCTTAATCTCCACCTAAATGCTCCCCAACTGTTGAACTGAATTATAAAAAAAAAAGGGGATAGAAACTTTTGTTGTATTACGCTCTGTTCTTTTCTTTTCTTTTCTTTTTTATTGATGCTTTGTTCTCTTTTTCGAACTTCCAGAAACCTAAAAGAAGGATATACACACACTGTTAGGTCCGTTTTTATCCTGGTGTCACAAGTAGTGTTGCAACACTTTACTGTAACACTGTTTTTAACAGTAAATCTGAAATTAAACCAGCCAGACAAAATGTAGAAAAATAATGCAGGAATGTAAAGAACACCAGAAAATGGTATCGCAGTTCGGTGCACACACCTACTCTGCGGGGCCACGCTCAAACAATAAACAATCCACTAAGTTCAAAGGATTACAAACACCAATCGGACTTATACACCCAAAAACTCCCTCCTTGATGTTGTCGCCGTTGTGTCGAATCTCCTTAATGGCATTGTCCAACGAGTACCACTCGTCTTCAAACTGCATGGCGAAATCCCTTCGCCTGGCAGTGCGCTTTCTCCCGAAAGCTTCTAATCCTTCTCCCGAATGACGATCTTCAATCAACACATAAAGACTCACTCTCACATAGACTTTTTCTGAATATTTCTTCTATAAAAACCATGCCCCAAATGTATCCTTTGATTACCCAATATTTTTTTTCAAGGGGACCAAAAAACTCACGTACACCACTTATGTATATATAGCAAAGTTGCTCATGTGCCTATCCAAATTTTTTTATTTTCAGCCTTGTGTCCCCACACCACGTTCTCCTCAAGCTTGAAGATTTGCCAGCCATTAATTCCCCCAAAAGTCCACTCTTCATTTTCAGCAATCAAATCCTTTGATTTGTAGTCCATAAACATGACAACAAGACTTTCCTTAAGAGGTCTACCAAATTAAAATGCCAACCAATCTTACAACTAATTTGCCAAAAATAAGCCAATATAAAATGCACTAACAATCTCCCCCTTTGGCTATTTTTGGCAAAACTAACATTACTAACAAAAAGATCCTATTACAAGATAAAAGATAAGATCCAACTAAGGGAATTAACAGTTCTCCCCCTTTTTGACAAAATACAGCTAAAGTTAAAAATAATACTAATAGAAAAACCTTTTAGAAGATGTTGTCGCAGAAAGTGTTACAACACATGATATAACACTTTTCTGCAGATCATCTTTCAGGGTCATTGATCTCTGTAAAACGCTCCCCATGAGTCCTCTACGAGTCTCACTCCCCCTGAATATAATATTCTTCCAGAAATGGTTGACATTGCCAAAGTTTGGCCTTTTTCCTTCTTGTTGAACTTCTTAGTGCCATCAAGTAGTGAAGAGTATGAAACCGAACCTCCTTCTTTCAAAAAAATTCATTCTTGCTACAACAGACCAACTCCCAAAATCTCACCAAACAAAGGGTTAGTGAACTGCTCTGATACCAATTGTTAGGTCCGTTTTTATCCTGGTGTCACAAGTGGTGTTGCAACACTTTACTGTGACAGAGAATCTACTCTGCGGGGCCACGCCCAGACAATCA